GCATAAGCAACGAAACCAATTTTGTATTACCTGTCATAACATCCGTGAAAAAGTAGAATATGAAACCATATTTGCAACTTACACAAAAAAATTCTAACCGATTTACGAAAATCTTTAATAAATGCAACTTCAAACAAACGGTGTGTCAAAGATCGGATAACAAATTTACCGTCCTATGGATTTCCGGCGATAATTATAGCATGTTCAATAAACCAAAAAATTCAAAGATTAGAAAATTAAATTTAGAATTACCAATCAGTACACAAAAAAACACAAAAACATAATCACGTTTCCCAAATATAACGTCGTCACCCAACTATATCGCCCAACCAACAATGATTAAAACAAAAAAACAAAAACGACCATACCTTGCTATATATTGTTTGTTTCTGGTGACAGCAGAACAAATCAAGTAGTATAAATATTTTTCCTTGTGTCAACATAAATGTTGTTTGACAAGTATGAATTAATAAAAATTAAGGCTATAAATGGTAACACCATTTTACAATTATGCAACATTCAGCTAGATTCAGCAATTCTGCTAACATCATTTGCTAATTTAACAAAATTATGCCAGATTCAACTAGATTCAGCAATTTTACAAAACAAAAAAAAACCAGAAAATTTAGTTGAATTCAACAATTCTTAGAGCGTAAGTAATACATAATATGTTTATTTGAACTAAAAAAAATCGGATAAGAGCGAATATGAGAYTTATGTAAAGATATTAAAATTATATATGAAATATTTCTTTGAAAATGGATCGATAATGCGAATATGGTATATATAATCCAAATATTTAAAATCATTATCAAACGAGTAAGAACCATATCGTGTTCGGGTATTTRAGATAAATAAAAATAAATTTGGAAGATTTGTAGAATTTTTTGATAAAAACATTAGATAACTTATGTAGTTTTAATATTTAAGAAAATAGATCGTGTTTTCGTATTTCGATTTAAGTTTAAAAATTTCAGTTTGGTAAGATTCAAAATTTTCAATTKTTGTTAGTACTAAATGATTGATAAATAAATTATAACATCCTCAATTATTATGTTAAAATATTTATTTTAAATGATTTACATGATATAATTCATGTTTAGAGATATTCTTAAATCTTAGATATTCAATATGTGGTAACATAATCCATTTTACTTCGAATTGATGTCAGATAATATAAATTTTCAATTGAGTACGAATATTTAGGATATCTAAAATTACAAACAAATTTTAAAAAATAATTCTTACAAGTTACAAGTTATTGTGTCAAATTATGTTGTTATCTTATGTTTAATGAAGT